CCCCCCTTCCCCGCGCTGGTGCTGCACAATAGCTGGCAGGGTCCCCTTTGAGGAACATTGCACTATTTTCCAATACCGATCCCACTGTAATCAACTCATTAAGAAGTCATTGATAAAGGCCAGACACTGAGGATGGTAACTGCCAGGGCTTCTTTTTCTCTGGGGTTCTTTTACGTCTCTCCCTTGCAGGGTGAGGTAGTGTGGAGAGATGGGACTGCCATTTTACATGGTCACTCAAGACCCAGCAGTTTGGCCACTTGTGAACTGCATTTTATTTTATGAATACCAGTACTCATCTGAAGGATGTGTGAAACAGAAAATATAACTGCCTTATGGAAAATTCCATGGTATGCATTGGATATCAAGTATGTTTATTTCCATTGACCCTCCCAATAAAAAGCTACCAAAAGGGATCCTTAAAGGATAGGTATTAAAATGTCATCACGCTTGATGTCTATTAGCAGACCAATGCAGGGGCGGATCCAGGACTTTGTTCAGGGAGGGGTGCTGCACACAATGTTAGCCCAGGGAAGGGGTGCACCCCTTAGAATCGAAGGTAAAAAACAGTATTAGTTATCTTCGAAGTAGGGGCACAAGGTGGAACCAGGGAGGGGTGCACACCCATTGCACCCCTCCCCTGGATCCGCCCCTGCAATGCAGCTCAAGGCCTCTAGGGTTGTGTCTTCCATCAATCGATCAAACAAATATTATCTTAATAGACAAATGGAAATTTTAATTGCATGAAGCCAAAGTCAAAGACTTATGGTTAGGAATAATAGCTAGTTGTTTGGGTTTGGTATTAATATAATCTAACACCTCACCTCTCTGTATTAACAGGTATATCTAGGCTCGTTCCCTTGGCTACTTTACAGGACTTTCTTCTGGCAGCCTTGCCTGGTTTAACAGCAAGCTTGTTCATGTTAACTAAAACAAAACCGGAGGTCATAAATAAAATAACAGTGCATTAGTTGAGGGAATCAAGGGTGGTGTAGTGATATTGCACTTGCTTGTGCCCTGACTTTGATCAGGCCAAAGGTTTTTACAGGACTATCATTATCATCGCCATCATCAACATTATTAACAACAGCATCATCATCAACACTATCATCACTATGATCGCTATGCCATGACCAATATCATCACCATCACCATCACCACCATCACCATCACCATCATCACCACCATCACCATCAACATCATCATCATCATCATCGACACTATCATCACTATGATCTCTATGCCATGACCAACATCATCACCATCAACATCACCATCAACATCACCGTCATCATATCACTGCCTTAATAATCACCAATATTATGCTATATTATATCAGTCACTAGCAATAATCAGCTTACAAACTTCCTGGATTCAGAACTGCATTAATCCTTAAATCTTACCATCACCATCATCATCTTCCTTGATAAGCCCTGTAACAGATATTACATAATATAACATTGTTAGCTAGGTAACATTGTTAGCATGGTCTACAATAAATAAATAAGTGATATTAAAATTATAGATATATTAAAGAGAGTAGACAGGTATAAAATAGGCCTTTACCTCTGCTGCTAGAAGCTGTGCCATCTCCTGCATTCAGCAGTTTTACATGCATCTCTGCACTACAAGGGCAGACAAAGGCTAAATGTTAATCCCTGGAATGTCTGATTTGAATACCATGCCCTCCAACCGTGCAATAGTCAACAAAGCCACAGCCAATACTTAAAACATCATAGGCAGCACCTTCTACTCAGATATTTTAAGACTCTAAGTGTAAATTGGAAATAACTTTGAAACTTGGTTAAACTTATCTATTGGCCCCAATAGTCACCAAGCAACATATTTACTTCACAGTCAAAAGTGATGGATAAAAAATTATCAATTATTAGAGTAGCAAATTTGTGAGTAAATGACTTCATATATTCAACCCTATTGTTCTTTTAGCTTTTAACTCAATAATTTTTGACGATAACAAGCTTAAAATGCAGAATATTTTTGGTCGAATAGTTTTTGAAAGTCATCTAATATTCTTCATTAAATTACTTAAACTAGGAATAATCCGTTATCAATTTACTGGCCAGATTTTCCATGAAGTGCACCTGTAATAAGTAGGTCATATCTCAATAGAGCAGTTTTCGTATGACTGTGAAAAGCTCAGTGCCGTAAGCGTGACGTGCCGTGACCGTGATGCTTTCTAGAATTTTAATTGGCTGATTTTTTTTCACGCGCAATGTGATTGGTCTGGCATTGCCGTGACCTTGGCGTGACCGTGTCCGCGCCGTGTTTATGCCGTGTTCCGGGTATTTGATTGGATGGAGAGTAAATTCTCGTGCAATATGATTGGTCTGGCGTATCCCTTGCTGTGTCATGGCCGTGTTCGTGCCGTGAATTTTGCACAGTCATACGAAAACTGCACTATTGTGTGTTTACTGTCTTTCTTACCTCAGACTGCCTGTTTCTTCGCCGGAATGAGTCAACTTCGCTGTGAAGGTCTGAGGAGTGTCAGCTATCATTGCCTTCAAAGAGATACAGCATTCCCCTGGGAACATGATAGACTTAGCTACATGCCATCAAGACAAAGACTTGGATGAAGGGAGGGTACAACTATGTGATATAGGAGACGGGTTACCACAGTGTTTCTTGTGAAATAGATTTCTTTACTTACCATAGGACTCATCACTATCTACTGATTTGATAGCAAGTAATAAATGTTGATTTTGAAGATAGTCTCTGTCTGGGATGATGGGATAGAGCTGAAAATGAAAAAGAATTAATATTGAAGCAAGCTGTCTAGACAAATATATTGAGAATGACATGGGTCTTGGGACGGAATGGTTGAAATAGTACAACATCTGGAAAAAAGGTTAGTGGAAAACACCCATAGTGTCGACAGGAAGAGTATACAGAATGGGAAGGAAGAAAGATATTTGACATGGTGCTGGTTTTGGGCTACAGGGTGGGGTGGAGGAAGGGGTACAGGGTGGAGTGGAGGAAGAGGTACAGGGTGGGGTGGAGGAAAGGGTAAAGGGTGGGGTGGAGGAAGAGGTACAGGGTGGAGTGGAGGTAGAGGTACAGGGTGGGGTGGAGGAAGGGGTGCAGGGTCGGGTGGAGGAAGAGGTAGAGGGTGGAGTGGAGGTAGAGGTACAGGGTGGAGTGGAGGAAGGGGTACTTGGTGGAGTGGTAGTTTTGGGCTACAGGGTGGGGTGGAGGAAGGGGTACTTGGTGGAGTGCTGGTTTTGAGCTACAGGGTGGGGTGGAGGAAGGGGTACAGGGTGGGGGAGGAGGAAGGGGCACAGGATGAGATGGAGGAAAGGTACAGGGTGGGTAGGAGGAAGGGGTACAAGGTGGGGTGGAGGAAGGGTACAGGCTAGGGTGGAGGAAGGGTTACAAGGTGGGGTGGAGGAAGGGTTAAAAGGTGGAGTGAAGGAAATGGTACAAGGGTGGGGTGGAGAATGGGGTATAGGGAGGAATGGAGGAAAGAAAACAGGGTTGGTCAGAGGGTGGGGTGAAGTAAAGGATATAGGGAGGGGTGGAGATGGTAAAGGTGATATACAGTTATATAGAAACGTACTTTTGGAAGTACTTGACGACCCCATTCCGGTGAAGCATAGAGAATCTTGTTACCAGATGCTTTGGAATACCCTGGAATAGAGTTCTGGTTGCTCTTCCCCATTTCTAAAATAAATATATTTTTTAACTTGCTGTTTTCAAGAGTATGTGTATTTCAATAATTCCAAACCTTTTAAATAACAATGAAACCACATTAACCAAGGCCAGCCGAACAAATGTTCTACAAATCAACCAATCAAAATTGGGAATCTAAACGATATAATTGCTACAAATTGGACAAATATCCATGGGTTTACACGGTTTAGAAGAGTGCCTGCACATTTGTTGTCGAATATGAACGTGCTGTCGCATAGCAACCAGGAAATAAGATCTTATAGTGTCAGCCTGATAATATCTTTGTCTGAAAGAAACAAACTGTAATCATAAAGACTGTGTTTTATAGGGCTTCCAATTTGCCTTCCTGTCATATTAGAAGTCACACTTCACTATTTTCTATATTTTTATTTTTATTTTTCACTAATTTGCGAAGGAAATATATTACGATTTCTTGTTTGTCATTTAGTTTTGGCAATCTGAATGACGAAAGAATATCTAAGTTCAAAATTTCTCGCTAATCTATTGTCTAAGTACTTACCGCCGTCTGCATTGCTACGCGGCCACCCTAGAAAAAAATCGCGACGTGCACTTTGCAATAGACTGCCGTCAATCAAACACGTTGACGTCATTTATACGCGTGTGTGATTCAAAAGGCGCCAAAACTTGTCGATTGTTTACAAGTATTATGATCCACACTCACCGGGCCGATCCGGGCCGATCCAAACGCGTGTAAATGACTTCCACGTGTTTGATTGACGGCAGTCTATTGCAAAGTGCACGTCGCGATTTTTGTCTGGGGTGGCCGCGTAGCATTGCAGACGGCGGTAAACACTATTTGATAATTTGTAGACATTTTGTCGACTGTGGCCTTGGTTTGAGAAGTTGCACTGTAAAAAAACTCATAACTTAAATATTTTAAAAAAATTTAGAATTTAAACATTTTCTAATCCTTGCTTTAGATATAATCTGTACTAATTGGTCATTTTGACTTACTTTCTAAGCAGCTGGAATGGAATTCAATGACGAAAAGAGGTTTGCTGTTTGTCTTGATCTGTGAATGAAATTCAAACCAAACTACAGTATCAGTGTTGACTTCGTGTAGCTATAACAATATTCTACATTCTATATTTCACATTATATTTCAGATATTTCACATTAGTTTCTCTTCAATCTCTTCAAGACACTATTGCACCACTATTCATCTCCTCACTTAAACATCATTTTGTTTTCCTGGCGTTTAAAATTAAAAATAAAGCTATAGAGCACACTAACCAAACCAAACCAAACCACATTTATTTAGTCTTACTTCCTAAAACAAGTGTGCGAGGTCACTGAGGATCAAACTATGGACCTCTTGCTTAGCAGGCAGCACAGCCTATAGAGTGTTTTCACGTGATGTCACAGCGTCCATTATGGGGTACCAAAACAATACATTTTCTATCCTCCGGGAATTGAACTCTATTTTTATGCAAATACTGTGCAGAAAGTTTCTATTGTTTATGGCTGCCTTCTCACGTGAGTGAAAACGCTCTATGGCAGAATCTTAACCACTGCACAACACTTCATTTTACTGCAATGATTTATCATGATGATATGCACAATTATTATAACCTTTTCAAGTACCCATACTTTAAAGTAATGCTTACCTTTGCCTCAATCTTATGAAAAATAATTTCGCAACCTTCTTTTGAAGACTGACTTCCATTTTGCTCTGAAAAAAGTGAACAACATTAAATTTGCATTGCAACACAGTTCATGCCAGTACTCTCTCTATACCTTATCACACTCAACATGTTTCATCTCATCGTACCTCCCTACACTAGTACACCATATTGAACCTTAGCTTACTATACCATATCACACTTAACATGCTTTACCTCATCATACCTCACTACACTAGTACACCATATTGAACCTTAGCTTACTATACCATATCACACCAACATGTTTCATCTCATCATACCTCACTACACTTGTACACCATAATGCACTGCAATGTTCATGTAACACTACAACTTGGCATATATGTAGTTCATCTCAAATATCTCACTTCAATACCATTCAGACTTACCCCATATCTGACCACCACACCTCATCTATCTCATCTCACCACAACTCAATACATCACATTGCATCTCACTACACCATGGCAGATCGGACCACATAACACCACACCAGAATACAACGCAACACAACAAATCACACTATACCATGCAGTGAGTGACACTACATAGAGTGACAAACAAACACCAAAATTGCATTGCCATATCCAATTTAATAATTAGCAATTATTCGCCGAAGCCGAAGTGAATATCGGGGAATATTTAACAAGACGCGAGTCTTCGAGCAGCAAGGTAAATATTCTCCATTTTCACTGAAACTGAGACGAATAATTGTTTTAGCATATACCAACTTGTGTACAGAGTAACTTATTTTTATATACAATAATTCAATAAAAACAAACAAACAGAAACTTTTAGTTTGCGTGAACAAATTCACGCAAAACTTTTAGCAAAACTTTTAGGCCACACTGCGTTGCATTTTTAGTATTGATAGGAATGGCATTTACTTTCATTTTTTCAATTTTCTCACGGGAAATTGCAGCAAAAGGATTGCCGGGAGATGCCATTTTGTTGCCGACTCAATATTCCGAGATTCAGAGGTGAATATCGTACAATATTCAMCTCCAATTAACCAATGAGCGTGCACGTTCTTAGGAACTACACAAGTTGGTATATGCTAACAATTAATGTACCTTAAATACATCAGGTCCCCCAAAACAAACCACACCATTGACATACCAGGTTTAGCAGCATACTGGGACACAATACCAACATCAAAGGTACTGAATACCGGCCAGTGATCACTTGTTCTTATGTTTTCTGTACAACCTGGGTCAAAAAGAAAAGGCCAAACAAAAAATAAGTGTGTTTCCCGTTGCATGGGAAAATAATTGGGGTCGGTAGGTCGGATTTTTTTTACTGATACAACAGTGGAAATGAGCCTACTGGGAACCCTGTCATACATTTGGAATGAAAAAATATTAGGGTCGGCAAAAATGGGAAAGAAAATTAGGGTCGGTCGCGCACAACAGGAAACACTTATTTTCTCGTTTGGCCTTAACACATTTTGTATCAAACTACGGGCAAATTAAGGGCTGCTTACTATATCAACCACGCAAGCAAATGTTAGCCTTTGAGGAGAAAGGATAACAGGAAAAGCTGGAAAGACCCCTTGAACTAAGGAAGAGATTTAACAAAACCTGCTCACGTGATGTTATTAAAAAATCGAACCTAAGACCCCAGAGTTTAGTGAGCTACCGCTATAATAACAAATAGTAATAATAATAATAATAATAATAATAATAAATTATTACTAAACTGTTGATTCCCAAATCGAAATCATAAATGAAAATAATATGAATATTTTTTATTTAAGTGTCTATTCGTTCTAGCGCTTTTGCACTAATTGGGTACACTTTTCGCTCACACGCACTACCGCTTCATTCAATATCCAATGTCACACAACACGCAACTCACTTGTTGATTTTCACAGAGGGAGGAAACCGGAGAACCCGGAGAAAACCCTCATAGAATAGGACAGAACAAAACATCAAACAAACTCAATTCACATGTGGCGACCGCAGGGCTCGAACCAGCGACTCGACCCGTTGGACCCACAGCGGTGAAAGTCGACGTGTTAGCCGCGAACGCCATCCATGCTACCCAAATTCAAATTCCAATTTATGACACTGCACACTGCCCAGCAACCAGCGAGGCGGAGCAACTCTCTTTTGTACCTTTACAAAAACCGATAGAGGATTCATACAAAAATTGTCTTAAAATTGAATGCTTATTAGTTTGCACTTACCATACGAGGTGCAGGCAATTTTTGTGTCAGGGAAAGAATGACACAGAACACGGTCACACCATGATGGAACATTGATTAAAATCTACAAAAAGGACAATTAAATAATGAAAACATGGAACATGATTTACTGGATTCCACTGATTTTTCTTAGGAGTAATGCAAGTAAATGTCTGTGTATGCTTGTACTCTTTATGCAAAAGATTAAACCCCAAAAAACATCTTAAATCTATTGTAAAAAATAAAAATAAAAACAATTTCACATACAAACTTGCCTGACAAATGTTTCCACAAATGCCAAAGATTTAAGTCTATTCTCAAGAATAATTTCTTGCTTAATAATTTAAGGACTTAGCAATGCAGTTTGTTACTCCCAACAAAAATTGCAATTTTATGATTGCATAGCGCTCTTTTCCACATGGATATTTTCAAATGCCCTTTACGATGATTTATGAATGAGATTTATGAATGTAGTATGAGGTGTAGGCACTGAGGGTGGTCACTGCAATTTTTGTTTTCCATAAAAAAAAGTAAAATTCTGATAGAGAACTGGAAAGTATCTTCAAATTCGAGGAGTTCTCATACTTCATATCTTCATCTTTCATTTGTCAGCTTTGTCAGCGATTCATCATTGACAAAAAATATTAAGAGAGTACTCTTTTCGTATTCAAGCAGTGAACACCAAAAAACTATTTTCTTGAAGAAAGGCTGTTGTATAAAGCTAAAAAAATCTTGTTATTCAGAACGTTTAACTTGTTTGGAAGTGGAGATGACCGATGAAAGTGAAATCAAAGAATGTTAAACCCAAAGCAAAAATTTTATTCGAAAATGAGGTTTAGGCCTTCATTTGCTTATTTCCCATATATTTTCTATGAAAGCCTGACAAATCAACATTCTAACACAAATGCAACAAAACATCTTTGTACAATTGAAAATTCCGCTTCAAACAGGCATTTTATCATAGTACATCAGTAACGTTTCTAACTGTTTAAAAAAGGTTTTGAGTGTTAACCCAAAACGAAAATTGGGATCAAAACTCATACGAAGGTCTAGTTTTTGGCGCTTTTTATTGCTTATTTTTGAAAAAACTATCCCTCTTAATATCATATTATTATGTTACCCCTGATCTTTTGGTCTTCTCCCAGACATATTCTTTCCCACCACGCTTGTGACGATATGTTGGAAGAAAGTTTATTTGTTCTTCCTCTGTTGAAAAGAAAGGAGAATATATGATATAAAGAGGAATGTATTTATAGACAAGATTTGCTTACCATCGAGGCAGTGTTTGCCTGTCATTGTAGGTTGGTAATGAGACTCACGAGATTCTTTGAGCATATTCTCATATTGCTTGGTATCAATCAGCTGAATGAATCTTGTGAATCTCATTACTAGCCTAAAATCACAGGCAAACACTGCCCATCATATGCTATCAACAAGAGAGTATCCTATTGCTTGATATCAATCAGCTCAAATGAATCTCGTGAATCTCATTACCAGCCTAAAATCACAGGCAAACATTGCCCATCTTGTGCTATCAACCAGAGAGTATTCTATTGCTTGGTATCAATCAGCTGAATCTCAGGAATCTCACTACCAGCCTACATTGACGGCAAACACTGCCCGTCATGTGCTATAAACCAGAGAGTATTCTATTGCTGCTGATTGATACTAACAAGGCTTCACTATTGTACTTACTAAATCCAACAAAGACATTGCCCTTCTGGATTTCTTGTTTCAGTTGATCATATTCCCTCATCTTTGATAGGTTATTGGTTTTAATATTTTCTAATACATCCTATTGTGAATATGAGAATCAATTCTTTAATTAATGTTTAAGAGACTGATTGACTGTAAAGAATTGAATGCAATTAATAAACTTGAGGGCTAATCTGGCTGAGATATAAAAAAAGTTAATGCATATTAGCAAGAAAGTGTGGTTCCCAATACTCCTCCTCTGCAGTCCCTTAAGGCCTGTAACAGTAACTTACCATAACCTGCAAGTCAATCCTGTAGTTTAAGTCACCAAACCAAAATACATGGTTAAACTGGTTAGTCAGGTCAAACACATTTTTCTGGCCAAGATTAAGACCCTTCAGAATGTCATGGTAGTTTTGGTTTCTCCTGCAAATTTAAAGAAAGAAGTTTTGATTTATGGTTTTTTGAAACATTATCAGCATCACTGAACAACATTGATTTCTCCAAATAATAACTATGGCTACAACAGACACTTCACTCCCCTTAGTTACTGACTCCCCTTAGTTACCGTTGCTATGTCCCACAAACTTAACAAATAATCTAGAAAAAAAATCTTTCAACAGTTTACTGTTGTGTGAAAATAATTAGAAAATCGCCTCATTATCCTTGTAGTACTCTTTAGAACAGATACTGTGTACTCGTTGTTTGTGGGACAAGATTTTGATATCATTGAGAAAACTGTTGCAACAGTGCTTAGTTCGCTATTGACTAAGTTGGAACTAGGAATTACAGCTTTATCCATGCTCCATTCAGGCCCCGTCCACACGTATCCAGAAATTTGTGTATACGGGTTGCGTCCACACATGTCCGGAAATTTTTGTATTCGTATCCGGAAATTTTCCAAATTGATCTCCAGAGTGGAAATTTTCGAATACGCTCCGAATACGGATACGTGTGGACGGTCGTATCCGCAAATTTTCGAATACGCTGACGTAAACAAAATTTTGCGCATGCTCAATAAGAAAAACTAYCCGTCAAAGGGACTAGGCACTAGCGTGAATCAGGGCAGATCAAGAAATTTCCGGATACGTGTGGACAGTGAAAACGATTGGAATACACTTAATTACGCTGCGTGTGGACGTTCGTATCCGAAAAATGTTTTTTGCAGATACAAAAATTTTCGGATACGCACGGACGGGGCCTCCGTAATACAGGAATAGGGAATGACAAATGCATGAGAAAAGTGGGAAGAGAAGCTCAGAGAAGCATTAAAGTGCTGTATTACAAAAAGGAACATGAAAAATGCTGTTTTATTCCATCAAATAATAATATGCACATATTCAGGAAGAAATTTTTTAAAATTTTTTATCTTAGCACTTTTTTGTAAACCAGGTTGTGCATGCAGAGCTGGCATCTGCAACATGCAATATTCACCAAAGAAGGAAATACTGGCCGCGATTTGTTGATCAGAATTTTCGCCCAAAACAATCGGGAAGCAAATTGTGCAACATAGTTTAGAGCCTAGCCTCCTTAAGGAGGTTTATAGAGCCCCTTTCAAGTATGATAATTTAGAAAAAAAGAGCCCAATTTACAAAATCTGTAGCAGTCACAGATATTAGACTCATGTACGGACCTGATTTATACAGAGTACTGCATTCAAATTGTGCTTGAATCAGGTAATAAACTACTTGCACGCTTTGCTTCCTGAAATGTCAAATCCTCTTGACAAATCACATTGCATAGACAACCCATATGAGAGCACAGTTTTCAACCAATAAGAGTATAAGGGATGAGGTGATTATGTTATAATATAAGGCTATAAATTAAGCTCTGTTACCTCAAGACCCTTGTACTCCTTGCAGCCAAGTGACAGTTAATAAAACACAGTGAAGTAGCGCTAAACATGAATGAGATGCCAACAGCACCCTTGTTACCTATCAACACCAACAGACAGTCATGTCAAATGAAAAACAACTTTTATGTAGAGGGGGTGACGAGTGACAGTTGCAGAGAAGGACTAGCTTATGTTGCGGTAGTGAAGTGTTGGTGAAGTGACAGTCAAGGGTTGGTCAACAGTCGGGCGACTGTTCACCAACAGTTGGGCGATAGTCGACCAACACGTGTTGGCTGGTTATGAAGTACACGATTACCCATTCATACGATTCATTCATTCATAAGGAATGAGTTGGTTTAGGAATCAAGGTTGACAAAGCTGTAGACGTGTACTCGATCCCCTCTTACCTCTGGGATCTCAGGTTTGATTACTGAATTCAGCATAACATGTGAGTAGAGTTTGCAAGATCTCTTCCTTGATTCAAGGGTTTTTATCTGGGTTCTCCAGTTTTTGCTGTCATGCTAAATTTTCCCCAACAATCTAAGTTCTAATTTGATCTAGATGAGTTAGCTGTGCCCTGACTTTGATCATGAGCCCTCAGGCTTTCTCAATTGTTTAATTTTGAAGTTTTTTGAAGGTTTGAAGAAGGTTTTCCCATGCATTGTAGCTCTCTTTCCAGCTTTCCTTCCACGTTTGTATCTTTCTGTACTCCATATTTCCTCTCTCAGGGAAAGATAAGCAACAACGACAACAATGTGCTTTATGCTTACAATGTGAGAGCTGTGCACAGAGTATTGAATGAAGTGGTAGTGTGTGTAGGTGAAAGTGGGCTAAATTGTACTGTGGTGTTGATATTACAGTGCTGTGTGTGGAACTGTGAACACTGAACAAAGTTTCATACAAGTTTTTGACAAGTTTTAATCGATCTCTTTACCACTAACCAATTCTGTATTGGTGCTTCACCTTAATGTTTCGCTATCATTACATCGATGTACGAACTCTGCGTATCCAAACACCAAGGTGAAACGCTGATGTCTAATTGGTTAACGGTTAAGATAGCACAATTAAAACTTGTCAAAAAGTTGTCAAAAAGAAATTTAAAACTTGTAGAAGTGTTAACGGTACAGCACATAGCACTGTAAACCTACCTAATGCATTTGCTAAGCCAGTCTTCACAGAAGACTGTTGAACATGACTGATTAGATTCTGGTGGGCTATTTTAACCAAAATGACAATTCGAATACCCCATAAGGAACAAACACCAACCTGAAAATAGAAAGAATAAAAAATGAATGAATGAATGAGTGAGTGAATAAAATGGATGATTGAATGAATGAGAAATCAATAAATGGATGAATGAGTGAATGAACAAACAAATAGAAAGAAAAGGTATGGATGGATGGATGGATGGATGGATGGATGGATGGATGGATGGATGGATGGATGGATGGATGGGTGGGTGGGTGGACAGAGGGATGGATGGATGGACGAAGGGATGGATGAAATGAAAAAGGGACGGATAGATGGATTGGTGAATAAATGGGTAAATGGATGGGAATGAATGGAAAGTAGAAAAATCCCAAAAATTACCAAAATAAATATTGAATAAAATAGAATTACTAGATGGATAGCTTAAATAAATGAATAAATAGGTAATAAAATACAAGAAAAATGTACAACAATGAATGAAAATGAAATGGGTGCAAGGGAATAAATATATTGACCAACTAGTCAGATACTTTAACTTACAGTTTTAAATTCAATGTCAAACAAATTATGAAGGTCGTTTTTTATCTTTGAAATCCAATTACTTTCACTATATGAGCATTCCTAAAAAAACGAAAAATGTACTGTTATATAGGTGTTAGAGATTGAGAGCAATGGGAGGTTTGCAAACATTCACAAGAATGAATGTAATAACAGAAGATGGCTTTGAGAGACATTTCTCAAAACAATCTTGAATACGAGGCCAACAGAAAATAAAAAGAAATACTTTAAAAAGTCTGATTCTTCCATTTCCTTTTTGGACTTATTTTTTCTACCAATATGGTTGCCATGACACAAATACCGCCAATACCTGGACAACAGCAATAGGCCTTTTGCAATAGATTGACACGTGATTGTTACTGGATGGCAAAAAAATTTGGACTTCCTTTATTCAAAGATTTTTTGCTGGATTACTAATGTCGCATCCAAAACCTTTTGAAAAATACTTTTTTTCCCTTATAAGATACTTTCGATTTCAAGATAAGAAGCAATTTAAAGTTTGTTCTCCATCCAGCAGAGCCTTCCCCAAGGGACCTTGAGCTGAATTGATTTGTTAGTAAAGACATATATCAGCACGTGACTGTTTGTTGCAAAAGGCCTATTATACCAACAGACCTCTTCGACTTAGGAGTAATTTTTTTTTTAAATTTCAGACCATGTGTCATTCTCTAGAGCACCATTTCTTTGTTCAACAGTTATGAATGAGAAGACACGTGGAAATGTATACAACTCAAACAAAGGATCTTATTACCTAGAGAATGACATGTGGTCTGAAATGGGAAAATATTACAGTACGCCCAAGCTAAAGTGATGTGAATGTGGGAATACACACGAATACACACATAAATACACCTATTTCAAGAAATGGTGTCGATCTGAGATCTGGAATCTAAAAACTGAGACCGAGTAGCATGCCGCAAATTGTAATATATTCACAGCCGAACAACACATACTGTTTCCTTTTAGATTGGAGTATGAAGCATGACCTGTGAGTTAGAAATGTGATGGTCCATATTTTTACTTGAAAACATAAAAGTACAAAAATTCAGTTTAGTCTCAGATCGCCCATTTCACATCTTTGAACAACAACGCTTTTTGAAATAGGCCTGTACCTGTGTGCCTATAGCATAAATATCATGTGCGAAGTGTGCAACATCAGTATCTCGTGTAGACCCATGACCCTGACACTTGTACCAGGAAGAAAGGTTTTCAGGAGGGCTTGCATCACCTGCGAACAATGAGTGTCGTCATATATCATGAACATTCATAGCCTTATAGTCAAGGCCTTTTCTCTGGGTTCTACAAATTTCTTCCCTCATAAAAAAACCAATATGCTAAATTCCTATTCTATTTTTGAGTTAGCCATACTCTGACTTTGATCAGCACAGAGGTAAAATTTGTAGACGTCTCAAATTGCAATGATTTTTACTTTACGTTTTACTGAACATGTAGAAAACAACACTGAAGTAGAAAACAGCATAGTTTATTGAGAAAAACCTTGTGGCAAAAGAGATACCAAACTAATTCGAATAGTACTATACTGACCCATGTTCCATGTTCCAACGAAGACAGAAATCTGTTCCAAAGCCTGGTCTTTTGAGTTCTGGTTCTTGACTTGTTGAACGAGTTGACAGAACACTTCACGAGACTGAAAAATAGATTTATTAACACATTCAAAAAAACTAGACAAAGGTAAAGAATCAAGTTTCAATTTACTTTGATAAGATTGAAGTGACTGGCAAGGTGTGATGTGGCAAATGGCACAATGTGTTAGTGTGTAGCAGGGTTTAGCTGAGTCAATTTAGTGTAGTAAGTAAGTGTGGTGCAGTGTGGTAAAGAATGGTGTGGTGTGGTGTAGTGTGGTATGGTGGAGTGCAGTGTAAGATGGTGTGGTGTAGTGTAGCGTATTGAGGTAAGGTGTGGTGTGGTGTGGTATGGTAGGTGAGGTGTAGTGTGGTATGGTGGATTGCAGTGTGATATGGTGTAGTGTAGTGTAGTGCAGTGAGGTAAGGTGTAGTATGGTGTGGTGTGGTATGGTATGGTATGGTACGGTGTGATGCAGTGTGGTGTGGTGCAGTGTTGTATGGTATGGTGTGATGCAGTGTGGTGTGGTGCAGTGTTGTATGGTATGGTGTGATGCAGTGTGGTGTAGTGCAGTGTGATATGGGGTGTTGTGGTGTAGTGTAGTGAAGTAAGGTGTGGTGAGGTGAGGTTTGGTATGGTGAAGGGCAGTGTGGTATGGTGTAGTGAGATATGGTGTGGTGAGGTGTGATGAGGTGTGATGTGTAATGGTGTTGTGTGATGCATTGTTATGGTGTGGTGTGAAGCATTGCATTATTGCAGAATGTGGTGTGGTGTGAGGTGTTATGATGCAGTATGTTATGGAACAGTGAATTATCGTTTAGTGTTGTATGTGGGTATGTTAATATTGTGTAACATACAGTAGCGTTGTAGTTTGATGTGCTATTGGTATAAACTTTAATTAGCAGTGTTTAAAATTATACCCTACAGTGTGGCGAATATGGTATTGCTGGAGCATTTTCTCCACTTGGGACCCTTATCACTACCTTTCCATCATCAAATTCAAATTCTTTTATAGGCTTGGACTCAATCTTCATGCTCAGCCTTTTGATGTTGGTTCTTGATTTAATCAACTGAGTAACTGAAAAAGAAGGCACAGTACTGTGGATAAGTCCACTGCACTAAATACCTCACCCAGAAGAACCTTTCTTTACAACAATGCCCTCTGTCACCCATCCCCTCTTCCACCCATCCAGTAGTGGGATGTACCCATGCATGTAAAGATCAAACTGTGCATCTTCTTTACCAAAAATGTCCTCTTTTACCCACCCCCTCTACCACCCATCCAGTAGTGGGATGTACCCATGGATGTAGAGACCAGACTGTGCATCTTCTTTACCAAAAATGCCCTCTTTTACCCACCCCCTCTACCACCCGTCCAGTAGTGGGATGTACCCATGGATGTAGAGACTAGACTGTACATCTTCTTTACCAAAAATGACCTCTTTTACCCACCCCCTCTACCACCCATCCAGTAGTGGGACACCCATTATAGACAGACCAGACTGTACATCTACTTTACCCAAAAATCCTTCCTAGAGATTCCATTGAAGAGTTCAACCAGATGTAATGGACAAAACATGGATATTTAAACTTACTTTTGCTATGATCAATGGTGTTGCCTGTTTCTGGAGCGTCTCTTTCATTCTTTAAGAAGGAAATTCTCCCTGAAATGATAACATTAGTTACTATATGATGGCGATATAGTAATTAATGATAATGGCTGATGATGACTGATGACTGATGGTGATGATGGTGGTGGTGGTAATGGTGAAAATGATGACTGATAATCCAATTTTGGTGTGATGGTGATGATGATATGGTGATGACGATGATGTAGGTAAATGATGGTGTTGGTGATATTCATGGTGAAAATGATGATGATAGCTAACAATAGTTGGTGGTTGATGATGATGAATGGTAATCAAGATATGATCATAATAGGCCGTTTTCAAATTAGTCAAATAAGCGCAGTGTTCCTTGATTACAGACTCATTTACTCAGGGTTTGCAAACCTCATTTCAGTTTACAAATATTCACAACTACAAGTAAAGAATCTCCAATGATATTAACAATTTCAAATTTCATGGACCTTCAATAAAACACATGAATATTCAAAACACAGTCAACTCTCCCGTAAGTGACCACCCTGGGGTCAGGAGAAAGTGGTCGCTTACAGAAGATAGTCGCTTACTAGAGTTAACACAGGAAGCCCAAACAATGAGAATCCCAAACACAGGAAGCCTAAACCATTTATAATTTGTAACTCACGTGTTAAAACTACTGTATTAACGATTAAATTGTTTTAATTAAAACTTTGAATGTGCTCATGATATGTTTACAGTACTGTAAATGTCAAAAATACGTCGGGTTTTTAATACCCAATGACTCTATGTTCTTAAATTTTTTATTGTTAAAGGATCTGTCACCATTACTGGCTCTTGGGTGGTCGCTTACGGGAGAGGAAAAACAATGGAAAGTTCCAAAATTTTAACCCCAAAGGTGGTTGCAGTCGCTTACAAGAGTGGTTGCTTATGAGAGAGGTTTTTTTTACAGAGTTTATATGGGGAACAAAACTGGAATTTCAAAAGGTGATTGCTTACGGAAGATGGTCGCTTAGGAGAGTGGTCGTTCAAAGAGAGTCGACTGTAATTTATACAAAATCGAGGCTAACCCTGAGCAAGAGAATTCAAAACTTGCATTACTATTGTTGATGATGTCGGAGGCTTGCAATGATGATGATGACTGCTTCTGCTGCTGATAAGGATAAATATTTGTGGTGCACAATTCCACAAAGCCGGCCTTACCTTGAATATAGTCAACAGACAGATAACTTTTGCTTCTGAAACTTACGCTCTTTTCGGAAACCTTAAAAAATGAATGGGCATTGAGTATCAAACAACATTGTTTAATAGTATCAATCAGGGTTGTCAATCAAATTTTTGGTAGGCAGTTATGAAATTGAAATAGGCGGTAAACCGGAAATCACTGGAGTATGTAATCAAGGCATACTTGTCACCAGTCTCACTCTTCTCACAAAAATTCAAGATGGTCGACAATGACCATCATAGTTTTGATCCCCCCTGGGTTTCGATTGCGTTGCAGTTTTCGTAGTACAGCAACAAAGATTGGGTTAAAATTTATTTTATTCACAAATTTTGCTAGTTTAAAGAACTTTAATCAAGATTTACAATTACATTTGGGAAGTGGCTGAGTAGGCGGCTGAATTAGCAAGAGTAGGCGGCTGAATTAGCAAGAGTAGACAGTGGAATCTGCCGGTTGCCGGCATCTATTGAGAACTCTGATCAATTTTTTTACAGAAGAGGCCCTTTTCAATGCCATTTCTTCATCTACTCTCCCTCCCCTCTTGTCTTTCTTTTTAACTTTCTTTTCTCTCTCTTTTTTCTTTCCCCTCCTTTCTTCCCTCATTGCTCTTCCTCCTCCCTTTTCCCCCTCCCCTTTTGACTTTCTTCTTGCTCCCCCTCCTCCTAGCTACCCCTTCATGCTTCCTACCTTTTTCCCCATCTTCTGCCCTCTCTCTTTCTCCTGCTCCTTTATCTTCTTTCTTGAGCCTCACCTCTCTTCCCTATTTTGCTCCTACCTCCTTCATCTTCTCCTTCCTCATCTCCCTCCCTGTCCTTCCTTCTCTCACTCTCTTTCATTCCTCCTCCTTTCCCTTCTAATTCCTAAGGACCACCTGCTTTACTCACCTCAAACACTCTCTCTTTCCCCTTCTCCTTTCCCTTCTTTATTCTCCTTCTGTCTACTTTTTACATAATATTTTTCTTCTCCTTCCTCATCTCTTTCACCATCCTTCCTTCTCTCACTCTCTTTCATTCCTCCTCCTTTCCCTTCTAATTCCTAAGGACCACCTGCTTTACTCACCTCAAACACTCTGTTTTGTGGTTTCTCTGGCTGATTGTCTGTTCCTTCTTGTATTTTCACAAGGTATTCAATGGACTTTAGAGCCTGAAAAAAGAGACACAATATTATCTTAAGTTTGACTCACCGATAAGAATATCATGTACTATCCATGGGTTACCTGTGTGTGGACTGTTGATACTCCAGCGATAGAGTCAGCTAACAGTCGACACAGTTTCTCATATTCTGACATACTCTGCAATCAAGCAACACAACAGAAGATAAATATTACAAATTATATATTAATATAATTCTTTTTTCAGTGGGTGTCAAGTATAGCGTTAAGGGCCCTGGTTTCCAATTTGGCCCAGTTTCACTCACACTCACTAAAACTATCACAGGAAATTTTTTTATGATTCCCATTCTGGCACATTTTTGGGTAATTTCTGGGACTTTTATGGGAAATTCACAAGTGCAGCAAATTCACAAATGCAACAAAATCCAAGGTTGGGAAAAAATTGTATTCCTTTCTGAAATCCCCAAGATTTTTCCAAATTTGGGTTGTGATTTCCCAATAATTTCCCAAAGTTCCCATTTGGGATATTGAAAAAGTTTCCTGTGATATTAAGTATTCCATACACACAATGCTCAACGCACATGCTGATTTTTACCGGAGAACCTGGAAAAAACCCTCGTAACACAGGAGAGAACAATACATCAACCAATGCAAACTAAATTCACATAATGGTGTCGTCCGCTAGGCTCAAGCCAGTGACCCAAACTTTTCGAACCATGGTCATGGTGAAAGACGACATTGTTAGAGGCGTATGCCCCCCATGCTACCCATAAAACTGATAAATAAAACGTCTGTTAAAATACAATTTCAAGTATGAAAATGAGTACAAAGGAAGTTAATTAATTTCTTTACCTACCTCATCTGCTTGGCCCAGAGAAGAAAATTTCTAAAGAAAGAAAATGGGAAAAATGTTAAGACATCAACTAAAATGGAAAATGGATGGAAGGATGGATGGGTAACTAAAATGGAAAGATATAAGGTGGGAAGGATCTGGATAGATAAATTGATGGAGAAATAGGAACAAGGCAGGATAGCTGGATTAATGGATGGATATATGAATGGATATTTTTTCTCTTCCGTAACACTTACTATTGTTCTATTGTTGTCAGAACTTTTGCAACTAAAAACTTCTTGGAGAAAAGACAGCCTCGAGATCAGTAGAGCTAAATCCCTAAAATACAATTATGAAAATAGTATTATTATTAGAAAACCAAGTACAATATTAAGATAAGGGATATATATGACCAGAAGTATGGCATTCCATCCCCGCCAAAATTGATGGTTTGTATTTGAAGTTCTCACATGAATTTTGCATTCGAGTAAATTTTTTTGTTACCATCTTGTATTTCATATGCTTCATCAAGGGTTCAACATACGTGTTTTATATTTGTCATTCATGTTTTATATTCTTGATTGTCGCTGATTCATTCTAAACTCCACGCCATGTATTTGTCCTTTGAGTTTCACATTACAAACTCGACGACTTTTATTTTCAACTCGACTTCACGCTCCGGTGAACTCGGTTGACCTTGGAAACCGCTGACCTAAAACAACGCAGTTGTAGGTATGAAAAGAAAAGAAAATGGCGGCAGAGTTTGCCCTCTGTTGTTGAAGAGACAATTCGGCAGCTTGGTACAAACCGCCAACAGGAGGATGACTGTAGTAGCTTATTGCTTCGTTTAGAGTATCCTAAACCGTACAATTATTAATAAAGGTTAACTACCGGCCTCAATCGTGGTTGGCATTGGATTAGCGATAAAATGCTTAAGGAACGAAAAACAGTAGTTTATATCTCATGAATCTAGGGCAGAAAAAGTGTTAACTGGCCACCCAGGTCGCCCTTCTTTCAAGGTTTCTGAAGATCAACGTCTCTCACCTTGTAGAAAGTGGGTTTTCTGTGCCGCGAATAAAGTCTTTTGCTAGGAGTGTCCATAACCATTGAAAGGAGAATGTCTCATTTTGGCATTAGGATATCAGGATAAAAAAATCTAAGAACTGTATATTCCACGCAGAAAGATTAGTTTTTAAATTTTATTGCGTTTATACACCTATTCCAATAAACGTTGTCTGGGCCTAAAGCAACAAGCTGACGGCCGCAATGAATGCTAGATAGTCCCAGTGTAATCATAGTACTTATTTATACGGAACAAATTAAAGACATGAACATTTCCACATGCGGTTTAGATACGGTTTAGATACTCTAAACGAAGCAATAAGCTACTACAGTCATCCTCCTGTTGGCGGTTTGTAYCAAGCTGCCGAATTGTCTCTTCAACAACAGAGGGCAAACTCTGCCGCCATTTTCTTTTCTTTTCATACCTACGATGGCGTTGTTTTAGGTCAGCGGTTTCCAAGGTCAACCAAGTTCACCGGAGCATGAAGTTGAGTTGAAAATGAAAGTTATCAAGTTTGTAATGTGAAACTCAAAGGACAAATACGTGGCGTGGAGTTTAGAATGAATCAGCGACAATCAAGAATATAAAACATGAACGACAAATTTAAAACACGTATGTTGAACCCTTGATGAAGCATATGAAATACAAGATGGTAACAAAAAAATTTACTCGAATGCAAAATTCATGTGATGAACTTCAAATACAAACCATCAATTTTGGCGGGGATGGAACGCCATACAGAAGGGTCCAGGCTGCGTGAGGGGGTAGAACTTCATGTAGCACAAGGGTGTGGTCAAGGGGTACATATGACCAGAAGGGTACAGGCTGCGTGAGGGGGTACAACTTCATGTAGCACCAGGGTGTGGTTAAGAGGTACATATGACCAGAAGGGTCCTGGCTGTGTGAGGGGGTACAACTTCATGTAGCACAAGGGTGTGGTTAAGGGGTACATATGACCAGAAGGGTCCTGGGTGCGTGAGGGGGTACAACTTCATGTAGCACCAGGGTGTGGTCAAGGGGTACATATGACCAGAAGGGTCCAGGCTGAGTGAGGGGGTACAACTTCATGTAGAACCAGGGTGTGGTTAAGAGGTATATATGACCTGAAAGGTCCAGGCTGTGGTGAGGGGGTACAATTTCATGTAGCACCAGGGTGTGGTCAAGGGGTACATATGACCAGAAGGGTCCAGGTTGTGTGGTGAGGGGGTACAACTTCATGTAGCACAACGGTGTGGTCAAGGGGTACATATGACCAGAAGGGTCCAGGCTGTGGTGAGGGGGTACAACTTTATGTAGCACCTGGGTGTGGTCAAGGGTTACATATGACCAGATGACTAGAAGGGTCCAGGCTGTGGCGAGGGGCAACAACTTAAAGTGGGGCCAGGGTGTGGTCAAGGGGTACAGGGGTTACATACATCATGTGTCCAGGGGGTGGGGCACTGGAGTTACATACTTCATAAGGTCTTGGGATGAGCTAACAAGTAGTTTCTGGAACCCTTCTAGTGCTTGTCCACCATTTGCTACAGTGTGAAGGTCCTTCAGTAATGGTTCACCGAGGTAGTAGCCTAAAGCATCTTTGAAATCTTGATCGATTCTGCTATTAAACAAACAATTCACAGCACCACATAAGACCAGTAAGCAAAATGCTGTTGATAGATGGATAGGTGAATAAGTGGATGGAAGGATGGATGGATGGATGAATGGATGGATGGACGAATGGATGGATGGATGGATAGGTGGATGGATGGATGGATAAATGGATAGGTAGACGAATGGATGGGTGGATGTATAAATGGATGGATGGATGGATGGATGGAGAAATAAATGAGTGAGAGGGTGGATAAAGTTATTCTTTGTTTGCACATTAAGTCATAGCCGCAGTATCTTGGTTGAATTTAACAAAAGACTTGTCAATGAAATCTTTTGTATAAATCAAATAAAAAGACTGTCATGTCTTGTCACTGTGGATTGGTGGATGGATGGTTGGTTGGGTGGGTGGGTGGATGAATTATTGGAGTGGGAAGATGGGTGGGTGGCTGGATGTGTGAATGGATGGATGAAGAACAAACCTAACAAGTTTTACATTCTAATTGACAAGGTCACTGAAAGATCCAAGGATTTAAAAGAGGGAGAAAAGAACACTTGCATTAATTTCCAACCTTGAAATCAAAACAAAAATATTCCCTCGACTTGACGAGTGTAAGATTTTCTTGATGTTAATATTTTACATTGCTTTGACCCAAGGGCGGATCCAGGGGGCTAATTGAGTTGCTTCCGTCAACACAACGGAAACAATTAAAAAAAGGATCTAATTCTTCAGTTTTGTTTTGTTTTTTCTGCTGAAGGAGGGGGGGGGGCTTCAGTTCCCCTTTGTCCCCCTGGATCTGCCCTTGCTTCGTTTGACCTGCAGGATGGGATTTAGTATCAGGTGTCTATAAGAGGCTCTCCATCAGTCCAGTTTCTTTCTTGGTTTGAAGTTTACATGCAGCATCCAATGGTACTTACTTTTCACTCTTGACTTCACTCATCTGCCGTTTGAATGCCGCTTGTGCAGCAGCATTCTGGTCGTTGTTAGGCTCTTCATTCTCTTCTAGATCATCATCTTCTTCTTCATCTAGACGAAAAGCAAAATACATACTATGTTAAACTTATTATTTAAAAATTATGTGGTGTTTATCTCAATAAAACCATTTCCTTGAGTATTATTTCTTATATACAGAAAATAAAATATATAAACCCAACATATTTTCTGTATAAGAAACAATATTTTGGGAAGCATATGTGCCCCAGGTTTGAGTCCAACCAGGTTTGGCGTCATATGTGAGTACTGTTCGTTGTTAGTTCTCTCATGTGCTTTGAGGGTTTTCTGGCTTCACTGGTTTTCCTCCCTCCACAAAAAATCAACTTCTAAATTTGAATTCAGTGGATGATAAAAAAAGTCCTTTTTTCAAGAGGGTAGCACTTAATAGATATTGGCTAACAAACCTGTGGCCCTCATTCCATGATCGAAATGGAATTTAGGAGCTGATTTTTGCGGAGGGAGGAAAACCAGAGAACCCGGAAAACCCTTGAAGCACAGGAGAGAACCAACAAACAACTCTACTCATATACAACACCGAACCCGGCAGGACTCGAACTCGGGTCACATTGATGAGAGGTGAGCGCTCACACTGCTACGCCACCCGTGCTTCCCATAATGAACCACTATGTGGAAATACAAGTGTTAAATCCAATTTTTTTAATACTCAAGGGAACAGGAGTAAAGAAAGAACAATTCACTCAAGTACAGTACCTGAATCTTCATCTTCACCAGTATCTACAGGGTATGGGTATGACAGCTGACATGGTAGGCCTCTTACTGGCTGGCTGTAATAGTTTACTATCTGTCCAAGAGTATCAAAGTGATGGTTTTCCACTCCCTGCACTGCCTATCAAGGCAATTTAACACAATCAAAATTAATGTCATTGATATTGTGAAACGACCTCTGACACCTACTGCACAATATGGCTGCCATACAGAAACTCACAAGGGTTAAAACATATAACACTTTAATAATGCTTCAGAATATTTAGTTATGCAAATTAGTAGTTTTGATAACATATTTGGAATTGTCCTATTTTACTATGACGTCACTGCTTGTTTATGTGGGGGATAGAATCGCCAAGTCCAATAGAAAATCTTAACAAAATTTGCTCCAAGTGAAACAGTTTAATCTAAAATGGCGTGGTTTTCAGATATAATATGTGTTAATACGTACTATTAAATATTCTGAGCGTTTGCTGGCTATTCTACTTCTCTTTGTGGATTGATACGCGTTTTAGAGCAATTTTCAGTGAATTTGCGTTGATTTGACCCCCTCCGACGACCATGATCCTTTGTGTTTAAACAATAGATTGTTTCGATGTGACGTCATAGTGAAATAGGGTAATTGTGAGTTTGGTTTCAAGATGACCGCTTCTCTCACATCGGGGGCAGATCCAGGGGTGGTAAAAGGGGTGACTAGCCAACCCCCTTTTGCTCAAATTATTTCTCAGTGTATCATTGGTAACAGCCACGCCCCCTTTACTCAAATTCCTAGTAAAACCTTTGTAATAGTCACCACATGTAACAATAATCATAATAATATGTACTTATTGACTGAGTGGGAGGGCCGTATGGGAAATTATTTGGCTCAAGGTGATGCCATACGGACTGAGCGCAGTAAGGTCTGTACAAATGACTGAGTGCCAAATATTTTCCAGTACTGCCCGACCTAAGAATACTTTTTAAAGGTCCAATAATCACTGTATGAAGTGTTTTCTCGATATTCAGGACGAAAGTATGATATTTTTACGATTATTTTTTGGAGTCTGCGACGTCATACACTCAATATCAAACATTGCTACATATATTTCTTTGTATATAAATCCTTAATTTATTTTATTCCTATGAAGCGCAAATGTGCTTATTTCACATTACTTGTGACTATAATTTATATTTTGGGGTGTTTGGGTATTTCTTTCTCCCTTTACTACTGATATTTTGATCATAAACTACAAAGAAATATATGGAGCCATGTTCGATGTTGAGTGTATGACGTCACAGACTCCAAAAAATAATTGTAAAAATATCATACTTTCGTCCTGTATATTGAGAAAACACTTCATACAGTGATTATTGGACTTTTAAAGAGTATTCTTAGGAAGTTTCAGCTGAATCCAAGTTTGAGCGATTTTCGTCATAGTAGCACTTTAAAAATTAATGGCAAATATACAAACAATTAGCAATGTGAAACAACAAAAAACAAACCTGAGAGTCAATTTTTTTCTCCTGATTTTCAATCTTTTAATCAAACATTTGAAATGCCTGTCTTTAATGTTTAGGGAGTTTTTGAAGCAAGAATATTAAATCTACTTAAGAGAAATTTGTCAAGAAAAAGTTGAATATTCTGGAGCTCCATACAAAAGAAATGTATGAGTTTCTGACCATTCTAAATCAATTATTTCAGCGACTGCCTCAGCATTCAAATTAAAACAAATATACTAATTTTGTAACTTACTTTTTTTGGACTAAAAATAGTTTTTTTATTAGAAAGATGTTCAACCTGGGTCATCCATGATGTCACTGTCCCACAACAAGATCATAAGAAAATGTGATTTTTAAAATTACCTGCATATAGTATCTTCCATCTACTTTGGTGAATATTCTATAGTGGTGGATATGCCCTTGAAATCTAAAATAATAATTCATTATTATTTTTGTTAAAAATTTTTTTAAAAATTTGTAAACATCTGTGACCACAGATTTTCTTTATTATAGCTATAAAGCATGCATGGGTTGACGAATACAAGAGAAATGTTAAAAAAAAGATGAGGCAAAGCTAAGAGTCCCCTTCACAGTTCCCTGTGCCATCTTGGAAGGTAGCAGAGCAAGCAATTATTTGCCGATGTTTATGCACAGGACACGAGTGAAAAACGTCTGCGCAGGCTCTGAATCTGTATGCCAATTAGTCAAAACATATGTAAATTTGACTTTCAAACATGTCTGATAAATTGGACTTCATGAAATGCCAAAACTTAGTGCCCATGCTTGAAACTTAAGGCTAATTCTTTCATGTTGTGTTTGTTAATACGTGTACAGTATCTTGGCCTGACAAAAGTATACTCTTGAACTTATTAGTATACTTGGAGGAAATAAACATATATTTTCTCACTTAAACTCTTCAAAATTCTTAGAAAACCTGCTGAAATGCACGCATGCGCGAACGTTTTTCTCTAGTGTCTGTACAGGCTTTTTGCTGGCAAACAAGCATTTGTATATATATGCCTTATTTGGTAAAACCAGCAACCGGTTTGCATCAAAATGTGTCAGCTTAACGTACAGAACGTGTGCATAGAAGTATGCAAATTCATTAAATGTGGTCATCCTTTTGTGCGTTGCACTGTAATTATATTCGTTTCTGGTAATTTGCATGGTTGGGGATTCCCAGAATTGATCACAACAACACCTCTAAATTAACTAATAGTTCTTTTATCTAAAGCTATCTTTTCCATAAAGTTTACGAGATCACTATATCTAGAAATTTAATAATTGAATTTGAAAATAAAAGTTCAAGGAACCAAAATGAAAGCATGACATTAAAAAAGTTTTTAAAAAAATAATTAAACCGTATATTTTGTTTTCCTCAAAATTGAAAGGGTGATGTATTATAGTTTAAAAAGTTTCTTATTAGGTCAAAGTTTCGGAGATTGAGATAAGCGGAAAATAATATACAAAATAGATCATTTAGATTACGTTTTGTAGGGCTCGACAGGTATTAACCAGCTTCGACAAGTCTTCTTCAAACGAATTTAAAACAACAACAAAGACCTTCTTGATCTCAACATTCTAGTTAAATATCATACATTTTTTCTTCAAAAACCAAGTCTTCCAGCAATCATATTAAAATATAATTATATAAAATTTACTAACGAGGGATTTAGAAGAGCTTTGAGCTCATAAAAGGCAGAATATAAAGTGAAATAGCGATTGTTATTAGGTTGTACTTACAGCAAACTAAGAACGAAAGCATTAGGCACGCTCTCACTGTCACGGATCAAAAATGACCCATCTTTATTAAATTCAAGCAGCATTTTCTCCGTATCCAGGCGGTTTAACTTTTGGTGATACCATATTCCAGACATCTGGCAAACAAGTAAAATAATAATTATAAGGAAAGTTGGTGAATTTGAAGGAAAAATAATAAACTTCCGCCTTGGAAGTCATTCGTCCTTCGGTCGGTGCCAACTTTTCTTCACTAGTTTTCTCCTCGCTTACCTTGGTTCTGGGTCCGAGTTTAACCACTTTAAGTTGTTTTGATAGCCGTGCTACATGCTTGGAAGTCTATGGAAGAGCTAGGGGGTGTTTAGGTAAACTTTATAGTTATTTTGAATGAATTTTTAGCGATAGTTTCGATACCTATACATGTTAACCCAACACGACCTCTTGACGTTTGTTGGTATTCACCGCTGACCATTGTAGCTCCTTGATGTAATGGAATTTAAGGAGGCTAGAGACTTCTTATTCGGTAGCCATAGACAACGGGTTAATTAATTGAATAAATAGCACCTTCGATTCGATTGCTAATCTTAATGTAATGGAGTTTTTAAAGAAATGTAAAATATCAAGAATTAGGCTTGAGACTTCGGCGGTAACCATAGACAACGGGGAAAAATAAATAAGTAATATTAAAAATAGCTGACTTGCATTTATCTTCGATTCAATTTCTGACCTTTGTGTAATGGAATTTAAAGAGGCTAGAGACTTCTTATAGGGTAGCCATAGACAACGGGAAAATAATTAAAGACAATATTAATAAGTAATTTCAAAGGTTAACCGGAACATGACATAAACAGGGCGACAGTAACGCCAATTTCACGTCACGGCCAGAAAAATCACTATTGCGCGAGAAAAAACCGCCAATCAAAATTTTAGAAAGCATTAAGGTCACGGCAAGAAGGCACTCATAAAGCAGTTTTAACATAACTGTGAAAAGATCATTGCAGTAAGCAAGCCGTGCACGTGTCGTGATCGTTATGTTTTTTTTCTATTTTATATAGTCATAAAAATAAATATCATCCCTGATGTACTGTTGAAAACAACTGAGGCACTCCGAGTTCCTTATTTCCGCATGTGTTTGACGTTAACCCCAAGGCATATAACAAACCTAATTATATAACTTTTCATTAATCCCATATAGGTAACTGTCCAATTATTTTCTTAATCATATCCTTTTTGTAATCACTACCAAATCCTGCAATCTGATTGGTTTATAGGAGTGCGATTAATTCCCAAATCGCATCTTTAGGAGCTCTTAATCGCATCCTTTTGAGCTGTTAATCGCATCCTTTTGAGAGAACCAATCACAAAACAGAATTCTTATATTCAGCCAATCAGAGAAGAGAATAATAAGCATTATTTATGAATATTTAATGATTTGCTGATAAATCGTTTATTTTATACCAGGAAAAACCTGATTGATTTACTTCTTCTTCTACATTAAATTGATCATTCTGCACTCTTTATTGTGTCTTTTTCTTGTGTATGGTTACAAAAAGGATATGATTAAGTGGTAATTGAACTTCCTGTCGTGCAATTTTGGACCAAAAACATACTTGTGATTAACAAATTGCACTCCCGCTACGCTACGCGGTCGTGCAATTTTGTAATCACTCGTATGATTTTGGTCTCCACTAAGTTCAATTACCATCATTAATTGGACAGGCCGTTGATATGGGATTAATTAGGCAGCTATATAATTAATAGGTAATGGGATTTTATGCTCCCCAATCAACAAATAATTAGACTCGAAAAATTCCTCTGACTGCCAAATTTACGAAAGACGACTTCGACTACGATGGAGTCAACTGAGTCAAGTGTAGAGTATACTTGGAAGAAGATTTATTTGAAAACGCTTTCTCTGTTTTCTCTGCTTTCTCTGTTCTCTTTCAATTAATTTATGTATACTTATAGAATACCCCGTAAATCATATGCACATACTTAATGACCATGAAATCTACCCCACAAATCAAATGCACATATAATGACCATGAAATCTATTGTTGTAGCGTCGTTATTCAAAGAGTTCCGACAACGTACTGCATATCATTTGCGGGGTATTCGATAATTGCTTTAAAAGGTGTTTTATTCCTGGAATCATTCGACCTACGAACTCAAAACTGAATATACAAGATAATTGGCCGTTTATGATACAATCGGGACGATCAACGAAAAGCGTTGCGTTATGCGTATTACGTTATGCACTAGTCAATTGAAACCCCCGCCCCCCGACCCCCGCGGCTAGCGGGGCACTGAACGGGGACGTGACGCGTTTTTGATGTGCTTTTAAGAGCAAGATTGCACCGGGGGTTCGGGGATTTAACGAATGGTTTTCTCAGCGGGGAATCGAGCGGGGATTTTAACGCTCGTTTGAATATGTAAGGGCCTGGAAACAAGAGGTCGGCCATCTTGAAAAAGCAAGAAAGGCGTTGTGATTCCAAGCACAGGCAGCCCGTAGCCTAGTACAGAGCAGCATGTTCTACACAAAACACATGCTCAAACAAACTTATAGCAGTTTCTACTGAAGAATTACCCCTCGATGCTCGTATTGTCTATTTTATTACGATGACGATGCAGAAGTGATTCTACAAAATAATGATTACAAATACATGATATATAAATGGTAATTCGTGATTAACATGCTATAATAGTCCCATTGAATCATAAAGTACTTACAACAGA